TTTCGTATTTGGGACTAATGTGGCCCGAATTTGAAATCTGCACTAAGGTACATCTGTTATCATGATACAATATGAATTCTATATAAATTCTACTTTTATCGCTCGTTTATTACAACGATATAAATTGCCAGAAATTATCATTTTTTAGTTGTTTGTAGAAAAAAATGCAAACATGAAGAAGAAAAAGAAAAAACATACTTTAAAAGAAAATACTTTTGTCCCTTTACAACTATAGATATTGCAGCAAAATTGTATTTTTAATATGACAAAATATTGTAATGACTCGAAATACATTTAAACTCATTTTCTGGAAAGCTTTGTTTTTTGAGTCATTACAGTAAATGAGCAATATTATTTTACATTACATTTTACATTTTAATGCGAAATAATACTGTCGGTTATTTGACTATCGTGTAATTAATAATTAATGACAGGACATACATTCGGAAGGTACGTTGTCAAGACTATTACGTCATTATAATATCTTTATCATTATATGTAAAACAAGAGGATCGATTATGTATCATGAAACGAGATGAAAATTACAACAGTGAACAGATGTTGACAATGAAATTATAAATATTCTAATAAATCACTCACTTTTGTTATTTTCATCTCGTTTCACACTGTTAGATATCAAAGGAATAATTGAATCTAATTCCTTTAAATAACAAAGTGTTGGTTAATTCAAGGAATTGGGTCCCATTAATCCTTTGATATCTAACAGTGCGAAATGAGACGAAAATAACAAAAGTGAGTGACATCTGTTATACATTTCATATATTCCCATTTAACCACATATGTTTTGTCACATTCTTTACATATTCTATCTTATAAATTATATTAGTGTGTATCATTCGTAAACTTTAAATGTATCGTAACGTCTTAACAGATGACTCTTGTTTTACATATAATGATAAAGATATAATGACGTAATAGTGTTGACAACGTACCTTCCGAATATGTGTCCTATGTCATTAATTATTAATTACATGATAGTCAAATAACCGACAGTATTATTTCACATTAAAATGTAAAATGTAATATAAAATAATATTGCTCATTTACTGTAATGACTCAAAAAACAAAGCTTTCCAGAAAATGAGTTTGAATGTATTTTGAGTCATTACAATTTTGTCATATTAAAAATACAATTTTGTTCCAATAACAATTGTAAATGGACAAAAGTATTTTCTTTTAAAATATGTTTTTTTCTTTTTCGATTTTATGTTTGCATTTATTGACAGATGACATGTCAATTTTACACTCTTATTAACGAAAATCACGTAAGTTTAAGGTCTAACGTTTAATCATATATTTTCTTTACGATTTAACATAATAAATTATTAAATAACAAATTTTAACTTAATAGATTATTAAATAGATTTGTAGTGCATTATTATAGATTGAACCACCGATGACGGTGGTGGGGGTAGAAACATGAGTAAAATGAGAGACAAATAAATGGACGAACGTTATTTCTCTGTTTATTAAATCTGATTAGTTGTTGTTGATCCAGCATTGGGTGAACAACAAGGATAAAATGGTATACAAGGGTACTTGGGTGATGTGTCCGACGTAGCTTTATTAATAATCCAATTTTTAAAAATATAATTTAATTTTAATTTAATTTTAATTTAATTTTAATTGTACTGCCATCACAATTAAATATCGGTCGGTTTCCGTGTACAACATTTTAAAAAGTTCAGAGTTGATTTTTAATCCAATTCTTGGATTGCTTTGAATTTCCATTGATTTCCATGGATTTCTACACTATAGTTACCGAGCTATATAAGCAAAATTTTAGGTGTGGAGTGCTCCACGATTCCACACTATAGTTGCCGATCCTGCGCGTAGCAAATAACCATAAATAAGGGAAATATTGAAGAGAGTAAAATCAACCAATTGTTAATAAATAAATTGTCATAAGCTTTGTGTAATAAATTCGTGTCTGACTGTATATTTAAACTATTTTTTTATTTTTAAATAAAAATTATTTCTGATATGAGTCTTTTATTCAATATTCTTTCTTCGTCCAATATCTTAATGTTATCCCAATTAAATTCATATGATTGTTCCAGGCGATTTTCGGTAATTACAGATTTTTGTTCTGTTTTCCAATTGATATGGTTTCTATGTTCATGGACTCTCGTTTTTATAGTCCTACCCATTTGACTACATATATTGTGTCACATTCTTTACACATTCGATCTTATAAATTATATTAGTGTGCATCATTCGTGAACTTTAAATGTATCGTAACGTCTTAATAGATGACATGTCAATTTTACACTCTTACTAGCCCATTGCAAGCGCGCGCTACGCACGCGCTGACCTCAGATGACCTTAACTTATCTTCATTTTTACATATTGATCTATATGATAGTTTATATTAAATTGACATGAATTCTTAATAAAATAGCATTTCAATTGTGATTGGTCTTTTTGTGACGAAATAAAATCTTCGAATTTCAAAACATTTCTATCAATGACACTTTATACTTACATTATTCGACACAAATATTTATTCAATTTTTGAATAACGATAAAAAATATGAAAAATCTTTTCCTTTAAATTTTCATTTTTAATCTGAATCAACGTATTTGGAACCTTTTACGTACGTCATATTGGATTAGGCATTTTTTAATTTCAAATTTTAAGTTCAGAATCGAAATCCGCGTCAATAAAAAATCTTCTCTTGTATGTGTCTCTCTTTAAGGCCCAGTTTCACAATTGACGGTTAACTCTTAACCAAGGTTCAACTTATTCATTATCTCTTTTCAATTCTAGAATTGGAAAAGATGAGAAATAAGTTAAACCTCGGTTAAGAGTTAATCGTGAGTTGTGAAATTGAGCCTAAATCTCTGTCCTCTCCGTCTAGAACTGTTCATAAGGAAGAAGCTACCAACCGTCATATAACATGCGTATTATATTACAGTTATATCGTTGAGTGGGAAATTACAACTAACAGGTACGTTACATGTAACTTTATGTTTACTGGGTATGATTATAATTTTATGTAATATTTGTAAAATATTTTAGTTTCAGAAAAATATAATCATATTATAACTGTAAGAAATGGGTTACTCCGTGTCTGATGCGCCACTTGCGTTACACGTTACCTCTCTGACTTACACACTTACACTTTCCATTGCCTTCTTGTTGCACCTTAACATTAGATGTTTATTTATAAAATATGACGCGCGGAGCGGCTGTAATTTGTTAATGGCGAGAAGAACGAGATCGTTGTGCTGACTGATCATTTTCTTTATTGTAAAATCAATTAAAGAATCTAAGATACATTCAATAAACCTTTTGACCATTGAAATAATACGCTTAATTAATCTAATAAGAGAAGCAAATCATCGCCCACCAATCGAAGAACTTCAAAAACGCTAGCAATCCAAGGCTTTTTCAGCTATAAAATTCTTACGAAAACGAAGGTTCGCTCAAGTATCCATTTCATTTAAATATACAGGTATGTATTCTATTATTGTTTCATTTATATTAAGATGTATTTATATACAATACAGTTTACTAGTTATAAGTTTGGAAATACTTACGATTTTCTAATTTTACTATTATAACCTCTATTATTATTTTCAGTTTATGAAAATGTTAAGATAATGATAGTTGTTAAACTAATATAGTTATATTGATAGTTTTTACAAACTGTCGTTGAATATTAATAATTTAAAAACTATAGCAGTCTTGACATTTTCATATTAAGATTTTTTACTCTATTTTATCTTTAGAATATGTTGTATAAGTATTGTAAGGTAGTGGTGAAATACATTATATATATGTGTGCGTGCTTGCGTGCGTGCATATTTACATATTTTTAAAACAAAATATTAGTCGTAAACGTTTTAAGCAAACTTGTAAATGGTATTGTGTATGTATATATAATAGTATAACTAATATAGAAACGTTCAAATAAAAATGTATGAATATTAATAATATTAATTTATTTTTATTTATTTCAGGGTAATATTCAAGAAGATGTTTGAAGAAGAAGTATTAATGAAGCGTTCAAAAAGTTGATGTTTTTGGAAAGAAATAAGAAATATTAATTTACCTTTTAT